AGCAGCCAATGAAGAAGAAAAAGGAAAGAATAAGTAAATAAAATTTAAAAACTGCAATCTGAATAACAGGAAGAAAACAAATGGGAAAAAATGAACAGAGCCTCACAGACCTGTGGGACTATAGTGAAGATCTAAAGCTATATTATCCGAGTCCTGGAAGAAGAGAAAAAAAGTAGGGAATAAAAGTATCTGAAGATATAATGCTGAAAATTTCCCAAACTTGGCAAAAGATTATATAACCTACAGATTAAAGAAACTGAATAGACCTCAAACAGGATGAGCTCAAAGTAATTTACTCTAATACCCAGAGACAAACTTCTGAAAACTAAAGACAATGAAAAGAATCTATTTTTTTCCTCATTCAGCAAAAAGGGTTTACTGGGGCTGGGGGAAGACTGAAATCCAGAATGTGCAGCCAAGGCCAGCTGGGTGGAGGTTTCTGTCCAGAGGAAAATGGAGGAAGTTCAAAGAAAAAAAGTCTTAAAAGCATCGAGAGAGAAATGACACCTTACCTACCAGGTATATGGAACAATTCACATGACAGCAGATTTCTCATCAGAAACCATGAAGGTCAGAAGGAACTGACACATTTTTTAAGTGCTTAAAGAAAATATCTGTCGACCCAAATTCAATATTCAGTGAAAATATTCTTCAGGAACAAAGAGGTAAATCAAGACATTTGTCACCAGCAGACCTACCCTAAAAGAATAGCTGAAGGAAGTTCTCTAAACAAAAAGAAATGATAAAAGAAGAAATTAGAACATCAGGAAGAAAGAACAATGAAAAAATCGGCCGAGAGACAGCTGGTATCTCAAAAAACTCATCAGTCAGGACACTGATAAGTCAAGGCCCCACTGTACTGTTTTATGTGGGTCTCAATATATAGAGAGGAAATATTTAAGATACTTATAAACAAAAGAGGGTAAAGAGAGGAAAGATTTCTTACACTTCATTTGAACTGGTAAAATGTCAATGCCAGCTAATGGTGATAAGTTTTATATATACAATATAATACCTAGTAGGTACTAAAAAGCCAAAAAAGATACTACAGGTAAATCAAAATGGAATTCTAAAAAATGTTCAAGAAACCCACAGGAGGCAGGAAAAAGAAAACAGAATCAAAAACAGAAGGAAGAAACAAAAAAAGAACTCCAAAACCAGTACTTATCCAAATTTTGCAACAAAGAGGAATCACTAATGAGGACTTAGCAGGTAATATATCTCCATGGTGAAGAACATGGGCTCAAGAGTCAGACTTATGCCTGGACATTACCACCTTCTCGCTGTTTGACCTTTGGCAAGTTATATACCTTTCTAAACTTCAATCTCCTCACCTATAACACAGGAACAGTAATAATTACTACCCATAGGAGACTGTTGAATTAAAATCCATATATATAAAAGGCTAAGTGAGGTCAGCAGGTATGACACGCACTGACCACCAGAGGGCAGGCGCTCAACGCAGGAGCTGCCAAGTGACAGCACCTTTGCAGAGTGCCCTCTTGCACTCTGGGACCCCTCGGGGGATGTGGGACTGCCGGTTTCGGCCCCATCCCCACAGGCCAGGCCAAGGGACCCTGCTCACTCCGCAGATGCCGTTTGAGCCCCAGTGCTGCCCCAGGTGCAGCCAGCCTGGGAGGGACTGCGGGAGGTTGGCTCCAGTGCATGTCCGGCCCTTCTCGCCCAGTCCCGCCCCGCCGGCCACCGTCTAATTAATTTCCTTTCAATGTGCACGAATCCGTGCACCAGGCCTCTAGTATCTTAATAAAGTTGTTAAAAATAAATCCTTATGTAAAAACACAACAATAAAAAAGAAATGAAAAGCAATGGAGCTGGAAGGGACGTAAGAGATCACCCAGGCTGGTGCTCTCCCTTTGTATATTAGAGAAAAGTCTTGCCCAAAACCACCAGTTCATTAGTGGCCAAAACTAGACTGGGATTCGGCCTCCCCCCAATCCAGTGCTTTACAATACTTCTGCTGCTTCTACTTAGACAAAAGGAAATATGTTACTGTTTAGTAAATTTAGATTTGATGAGATGCTTCTTTTGGCCCCAAGTTCATTTAAAAGAAGTGCTGTGCCAAAATAAAATTTTCTAAATAGTCATCTCAGAGAGTAAGAAAGTAATCAATAGGAATTTATATTAAATCAGAGTTCAACTCAAATGATCTGACAGGAAGCCTTAATAACTATACAGTTCAATGAAGAAATGGACATGCTTTGGATAACTAAAATTGCTGGAATCAAGAACCTGGACAAGGCTGGCCTAGATGACTTCCAAGCTTCTCTCCTAACCCAAAATTTTTTATTTTAAATGAAACATCTTTATCACAAACATTATTACAGGTACAATCAGTAAATATCTCTTTTCAGTACTGAAATATTCTCAGACAGAGCTTTACAAATCCATATCATTACAAAGGAACTTGAAGGACAACATGGGATCAAGTTCTACACCAGCTATGAGTAATTACATTACTAGTGGCTGGATTAGTAATATTAAATATTAAAATATCTACAGTAAGATTGCCAATTACATAGTCACCATTCATCCCACTACTTTAACTCATATTAAACATAGTAATATTAAAATTCCTTACCATAAAGAACAGACTGGATGGATATGTGCACTAATTATTTTAGCAATGCCTCTTGTCAAAAAATCCCAGATGACAATTCGGCCATCATTACAGCCAACTGCAAGCAGCGTGCCCCACCTGTTAAAGGTGCAAGTCAGGGCCATGCTGATACAATCCAAAGTTCCATCAGCTTCCTAAAAATAAAATGAACACAAGAATACAGACAATAATACCCAGGTATGCAAATTATTTTGTAAAGGTTCTCTACTATCTATGGACACTTCTCTTGAATTTAAATCATGTTGTACACCACAATAACCTCTACGTACATTCTTGTATCAATTAAACTAGTCAAAATGAAGAAATATTTATAAAAGCTAACAGAATTTTTGGAAACTGGTGTGATCAATCCCTTACACTACCACTGTAACTTTGTACACACACTCTAGAGGACAGTTAGGCCAAATATAACAAGATTCATTGAAAGAGTCATCCCATTGACCCAGTAATCATATTTTTTTAATTTATCCCAAGAAAAATACTTTAAAACAAGAACCCTAGAACAGCCTATATGTGTAACATTAGAAAAGCCAAATAAATTTTTTATATTATTATCAAGCCATTTAAATAATCATGACTACAATGAAATATATTCCAAGTATTACACAAAATATTTTTACATTTAAAAAAATAAAGCGCACTTATAGCATACATATTGATTTATTACTATGTAAAAGCATTGATCAAAACTAGAAAAAATCTATATACAGGTGATGGTGCTGTTTGCGATCCTTTAATCAAAGTCATTTTTAATTTAAAGGGAAATGAACTATAATATTTACATTATGGTGAGCTTTCCAGCTAACTGCCTATCTGCCTCCCCCACTTAAAATTGAACATTTAGGTCCTTATTATAGCAAAAGATATATCATCACATTTAGTACTTGTCACACACACAAAAAAGAGATCAAAACGCATTTCCCACTCAAACGCAAGAGCTAGTGAGTTATCATGTTCCTAAGACTCACAATACTATACTCTTACCTCTGGATAATTCTGCCCAAAGGACTCTGCAACAAAACAGAGAGAGAGGTGATGTAACACACGTGGCACACCAGGGACCCTACAGCTCATGAATGGTGCATAGCAGTGACCTGCAAAACGTGGATGGGAACTGAAGCCCTTTCCTATTGTCATTATCATGTCAAGGCGGTACTTGCTTTTTTATCCTCATTATCTCATGTTTATAGATGCGTTCTCCTGAAGCTATATGACCTATGATATTGCAACAGAGTGAACGTAGAAGCAGATGTAAGAAAACTGCCAACTTCTATTTAGGCAAACTTTACAGAGATTTGTAAAAATGTAAAACAATGCCACTCTTCTCACTAAATTTTATTTTGTTTTAAAGTACCTATTTTCCATAAAAATGTGTTATTTAAACATGTAATGATGTTATTATGCTTATTTTTAAATAACAAACTTTTAAAAATCAAATCAGTCAAATTATCTTAAGTCCCAACTATTCTCTAAAATCTTTATTAACAACAGCCAACCAGCAGTGATCATTCCCCTTATTGATAGCATTTAGGTTGAAACATAATCTGGCAGTTGGTTAAGCACATTAAGCAAACAACATTTTGGTACAAAAATCCCCGACTGCAATATTAAATTTGGTATTTAAACATTAGAAGTAGTACACATTTCAAGCTATGGCTATGATACCGCCTGCTTGCCAAAAGTTTAATTTCAGCCCTAGCTGGTCTGACCCGGTGGAGTGTCAGCCTGCAGACTGGAGGTCCGGGTTCGATTCCGATCAGGGGCACATGCCTGGGTTGCAGGTTGGATCCCCAGTAGGGGGTGTACAGGGGGCAATCAATGATTCTCTCTTATCAGTGATGTTTCTATCTCTCTCCCTCTCCCTTCCTCTCTGAAATCAATAAAAAAATATATTTTTTAAAAAGTTTAATTTCAGCAGCAGCACCATCTTTGCCAGTATTTACTTAGATTTTATTACAATGGTTTTTAAACTACACACTGAGAACTACAGGTTCAAGAAAGCTGCTTTACATATAGGGCATCCAAATAAGATATGTTTCTCTCTCTCACACACACAATGAAGTTTCTTCTTCCCTTCCCTCTTCCTCCCTCTCTGTTTAAAAAAAAAATAAGTCTGAAAACCACTTTCATTACATTTTGTTCTTTAAAAAAATTAATAGAAAACATCAAAAAAACCCAGGCTCCATAGTTAAGAAAACCAAAAGAAAGATGAAACTCAAGGTAACTAATTGCCAAAAAGGGTAATTATCTTGATTTATCTAATGTGCCCATGTATTACGTGACTTGCTTCTTTAACAATATATACTATACATTTTTCCAAATCAATAATACAGCTTGATGTTCACATGGTTGAGAAACAAACAAAAATTTATTTAAAAATTAAAATCAACCCTGGCCAGTGTGGCTCAGTAGTTGAGTGTCAACCTATGAACCAGGAGGTCACAGTTCGATTCCCAGTCAGGACACATGCCCAGGTTATGGGCTCGATCCCCAGTAGGGGGTGTGCAGGAGACAACCAATCAATGATTCTCTCTCATCATTGATGTTCCTCTCTCTCTCTCTCCCTCTCCCTTACTCTCTGAAATGAATAAAAATAATAGTAATAAAAATAATTTAAAACAAATTAAAAAACACAACCTAAAAATATACTACACTCAGGAAGGACTGAGTGTGACCTGGGCTGTGTTGGGAGGAGGGAAGGCCACACAAAAGACTCTGAGAGAACCCAGAATCCAGGACCCTTTCAATGCATGATTACCCCTCAACACGTTACCTCTGATTTTGTATTTTTATGTTTTGGGGTGGGTTTCTTTTTTTGAGGTTCATCCTGGTTAACAGGGGTACAATAAGGAGTTAAAGGAACACAAAGAGAATGAACACAAAAAAGACTAAGCTGGTTTGGGACACTTTGGTTGACGAGTCTGAGCAAGAATGCCATCGCGCAGGGTTAGGAGAGCACGAGCCTTTCCTCGGAATGCTCAAGACCACTTCCATATTCTCCATCCTCCACCATCTACCATTTCCTGTCACAAGCAGACTCCTTAGGCTTGGTTAAAGACCATTAAGGGGAAGAAATGCCCAAAGATATGAATGCCAAAGAGAAATAAACCCCGGTCAAACCCTTTTTTTCTACCAGGATCTTTTCTCCAAACTGCCTTTGAGCTTCACAGGCCTCCCCAGCCTTCTTCCTCCCAGCCTCTGTTCTCTAAATCAGAAGTGAGGAACATCGGGCCTGCAGCCATATCAGGCCTGTGAAATCATTTGGTCTGGCCCTGCCAGGCATCAGGGGTGAATTAAATGTTTGACCAAGTAGAGCAGGCTAATTCTTAAGTTGATAATTCTGTATGACCCAAGAATGATGTTATAAATATCCAAACGGCCCTTGGCAGGAAAAAGGTTCCCCACCCTCTCAAGTGCTGAACACCCCCTCCTTGACAACTTGATTATCATGACTCTAAAATTTCACGGTCTTTTTCTCTCAATGTTCCTATTATTTCCTACTTGCCAACCAATTCCTCCCTTTGTAGCAGTTAGGTCCAGGGTAGCAGTTTCCATTCTGCTCACTCAATCTAACAAGTGATGACGAAGTTGGTGGCATTTCTTTTAAAGAAATGCAACCGCCAGGTGTCTAGATCACTGAACCCACTACACCCACCCCAATCCAGTGCATCAGTACCATAATCACTACATTTCCTAGGCTCCAGTCTTGCCTCCCTCAACACTTCTTAAAGTTGCCACACTTTCTAAGCCCCAAATCTCACCATTTAATTTACTGCTAAAAAATATCCCTTGCTAAACAATATACTGAACGCCTAAGAATAATTTTTTAAAATATATTTTTATTGAGTTTATTTAATTCAGAGAGGAAGGGAGAGAGAGACAGAAACATCAGTGATGAGAGAGAATCCTCCTGCATACCCCACACTGGGGACTGAGCCTGCAACCTGGGCACATGCTCTGACCGGGAATCGAACCGTGATCTCCAGATTCATAGGTAAACGATCAACCACTGAGCCACACTGGCCGGACCTAAGAATAATTTAAAAAAGCAATTTCAATCTGGCCTCCGCTGGTATTTTCCTATTTCTCTTTGGCTAACTCCCCACCAGCACTTAGTATGGAACTTGTATAATCCAACCTAAGCACCAGCTGTAAACTACTCACCGTTTCCTGAACATGCCACACACATTGTACCACCACTGTTCTCTGTGCTGGTAATTACCTTTTCAACTGTCCCTCTGGAAAAAGCCTACTTCATATTTACTGTCTGGGTTAAAAGGCACTTCCTCTTGTAAAATCATCCCCAAATTTTATTGCCAGCCCCAACAATACAGAATTAATTGTTCTTTCAGCTGGTTCCAGTTATCTTCTCCTAGTTCTATATATTTACCCAGGGCAAAGGCTGTATCTTATTTCAAATCCTCCTGCATACTAGGGCCCAATCCACCGTAGGGCCCAATCCACCGTAAATGGATAAATCGATTTAGTGAGCCACACATTTTTTAACAGATTAGCAGATACCAGAGGACACAGTGTTAACAAGGATTAAGTGTAATTTTGAGAAACTTAGTTACATATGTAAGCCTAAATAAATAATGGGTTGTGATAGAAAATACAGGTTTATTGTGAGTTGTGGGAAAAGTCTGAAAAACGCATGTAACTTTGTATCTCCAGTGAATACTGCCAGCTACACCTCAAAGGCTCAAAAAGTGGTTGCAGATTTAATATCTTGAGTATCCACATTAAGAACACATTATCAGCCTCTCTCTCTCTCTCTCTCTCTCTCTCTCTCTCTCTCTCTCTCTCTCTCTCTCTCTCTCTCTCTCTCTCTCTCTCTCTCTCTCTCTCTCTCTCTCTCTCTCTCTCTCTCTCTCTCTCTCTCTCTCTCTCTCTCTCTCTCTCTCTCTCTCTCTCTCTCTCTTCTCCCACTCTCTCTAAAAATCAATGGAGCCGAAACCGGTTTGGCTCAGTGGATAGAGCGTCAGCCTGCGGACTGAAGGGGCCCAGGCATGTACCTTGGTTGCGGGCACATCCCCCGTAGGGGGTGTGCAGGAGGCAGCTGATCGATGTTTCTCACTCATCGACGTTTCTAACTCTCTATCCCTCTCCCTTCCTCTCTGTAAAAAATTAATTAAAACAAACAAACAAACACATTATCATTCATTTCCTGCATCTGGCCAGATACCCTTTAGCACGCTCCCACACCGCATTGTTCCTGCTCCTCTCTCTTCTGTCACACCAACTTTCCTGCTTTAGAACTCAGTCACCCCCACAGAGAGCTGTACCTTTGGACCTTGTCTTCTTTAATTTTATTTTAATTCTTTTTGTTTGGGTGGTTAATCCTCACCCAAAGATACTTTTTTCCATATCTTTAATATTCAAATGTTCATGGTTATTTTCTTAGAAATATTTTATAAATTGATATTAGAAAGAGGAAGGGAGGGTTGGGGAGGGATGGAGGGAGAGAGAGAGAAATATCCATGTGAGAGAGAACACAGTGGCCAGTTGCCTCCCACACACTCCAACCACTGAACCACACCAGCCAGGACAGAACCAGCCTTCTTTTAAATTGCATAACCTTCCAATACTCACTATTCCTTCCTAAGTTCCACCCTCATGAATTTTCTGTATTTAAAACACACAACAAACAAACAAAGACAGCCACCTTTCCCATGTGCTATCTCTTTGAAGGTACTAGCCTAGCATCTTCTCTATATTTTTAGTTTTTAAAACTAAGGATCAACTGTTTCCCTCCCTTTTGTCCCCACACCTTCCTAAAATCATTGCAGGCTGGTTTCTGCTGCTCAGGTTGCTGTGGGGGCCCCAAGCTGCTTACGGACTAAACAGAGCAGCCCTTTTCTAGCTCTCAGCCTCAAACGCTCTGCCGTAAGCCACTGATTCTCACACTCTGTCCACTCTGCTTCCGGGATATCTCCTCGTTCTGTTCCCAGCCCCGGCCTCCCACAGCACTCCTCTGCTTCAGCCCTGCAAGCTGGTTTCCACCCTCCAAGACTCCATGAACTACATCGTCCAATAAATCTTAAACCCACCGCTTTGTCGGCGCTACTTACCAGGTCAAAACCCTTCCACGGATCTGCCATTCCTTCCTTAAAAAGCACAGACTGTCCAGCTGGGCACTCAAGAGTCTCTCCAGAACGGAGGGCACCAGCCCCACCCCCTGACCTTCTCTTCACTCACATGCCCACAACCTGGCCCCGCAGGGACATCCTCCGGGCCTCCTCCCGCTGATGCCTTCAGGCACCCTCCCCGCTCCGTCCCACCACAGTTTGCCAATACTTTACCGATCGCCAATGTCCACGCCAAACCCCAAGTCCTCCACGGGCTTTCTGTTCACGGTACCCTTCCTTCCCCGGCCCCAAGGACAGTGGATAGAGCGTCGGCCTGCGGACTGAGGGGTCCCAGGTTCGATTCCGATCAAGGGCATGTACCTTGGTTGCGGGCACATCCCCAGTAGGGGGCGTGCAAGAGGCAGCTGATCGATGTTTCTCTCTCATCGATGTTTCTAACTCTATCCCTCTCCCTCTCGGTAAAAAGTCAATAAAAAATTAAAAAAAAAATAATCTTTGTAGCCCCTTTGGACAACCAAAACCACCTTCTGATTACTTTTTTTTTTTTTTTAAAGAGAAACCTATCCATAAAGACAGCAAATCGTTCAGGAGTTCCGGGAACTCAGGCCTCCCTAGGCCACCGTGCTAAACACACAATGAAAGCCTGAAAGGAAGAGCCTACGGTTTTTAAATACGAGGAACTGACTCGGAGAGAGGGCGGCAGAAGGCAGCCTCCTCGGCAGTTCGCGCCCGTGTCGGACACACCGCCCCTGGCGACTGCGGGGCTTCTTCCATAGGAAATGGGGATACCTGGGTGCCAGGGCCAATTGTGCCCATTTGCTTGTTTAGTGCCTACAAGTCGCGCCCCACGGAGCCCTTTTTTCATCTGTTCAATGAGGGGCTTCCACTAGTGGTTCTCAACCTTCTGGCCCTTTAAATACAGTTCCTGATGTTGTGACCCAACCATAAAGTTGTTTTCGTTGCTACTTCATAACTGTAATGTTGCTACTGTTATGAATCGTAATGTAAATATCTGATATGCAGGATGGTCTTAGGCGACCCCTGTGAAAGGGTCGTTCGACCGCCAAAGGGGTCGCGACCCACAGGTTGAGAACCGCTGCAAGATCTCCACGTTCCCCTCCTTGGGCCTCCCGCGTTTCTACAAAAAGGCTTCACCTGCCCGGACACCCAGATGCCCCCCGACAAGTCTTCAGAGTTTCGCCCCAGCCTCACTCCCTCCGACTCCTCCTTCTCCAGGAACTCAAGTCCCGCCTGTTGTGCGGCACTTGAGCACCTGTGGTCCCTGTCAGCACAACTAAGTCACAAACTGCCCCTAGCTCTCCGACACGAACGAGAAAGTGGCCTCGGGAACGGCGATGCATCCCGCGGGGCAGAAGCCGGTTTCCTCCTGCTGCTGCTGCTGCTGCTGCTGCTGCACATCGGGAGCGCCCGGGGACCCGCAGCACAACTAGGCATCTCAGGCTGCAGCCTGAATACCCTCCCGCCCGGCTCCCTCTCTTCCAGGACCAAAGGCTTCATCTCTAAGCCGCAGCCATAGCCTTCCTTACCGAGCAACTCGAGGTTCATCCCTGAGTACTCTGGACGCCTGGCCTCAGCTCCAGCGACGACGCCTTCCCCGCGCCGGCTTCTAAGACTGTGTCTCAAAGGGGGGGGCGCTGCGATAGCCCGGCGCTAGCTCCGGAGACTTTCTGGTGTAGAAGACCCTTCGGCTTCCGCTTTCTTCCCCCGCCTTCTCTGTTCGTTTCAAGTGGGCTGTCCAAATATATGCCTAACCAAAAAGGAAAACAGGCTCTGTGGAAATCGTTTGATTATGATATTTATTAAGGAATAAAAGTATTTTCGTCACTTTGTACTTTAAAAAGCGCATGCACTTGAGGATGTTTCTTCCCGGGTTATGTACGTGAGCTAGAAATTTCAGGCATATAGTTAGACGACTAGGACTGCTCTGTTATGTGTTCAGCGGTGATGTCCCGGGCGGCAGCATCAGCCTCCGCAGGAAAGGTTCCGGGCAAACACGACTGACAGGAAAGCTGGAAAGGTCAGCCCCAGCGATCCAATGTGGAGCCGAGGCGCGTACTCACCTGTATGTAGCTAGTTATTGTGTATCCGCCTTTACATTTGTAAAGATATGCCATTGATCTCCTAGAAATGCGCGGCAGTGTTTATTAGGCCTTTACCTCAGGGTTTCCCAAGGTTGACCAGGGCACTGAAAAGGAAGTGAAATGAGAGGTGGGCTGAGTACCCCGGAGCGCGGACAGACTGTGATGAGATACACAAAGCAATTAGAGACAGCCAGCTGATGGTAACTAACGAGGAGGCAAATTCTGTACAAACAAGTTTCAACTATGGATGCTGTGGGCTATCACAAAACAACAGCTGCGTTGTAGGTCGCTACAAAAAGCCAGATCACCTGTGTGGGTTTAACGCCAGGAATCCCAGCTCCACCCTTTGGGCAATATTTTATTCTCTGTGCCTCAGTTTTCTTATATGTAAAATGGAGGTGATAGTAGTACTTACAGAATTATTGTGAAGATTAAATGAGGTGACATATGAAGTACATAGAACAACAAGTACCCCGTGAATATCAGGTACTGTTATTTACAAACTAGTGGCCCAGTGCATGAATTGAAAGGAAATTAATTAGAAGAAATGTTTTTAATATCGCTGCCCGCCCTTTCTCTATAATAGAAGCGTAGACCAAATATGTGATCGACAATGACAGATCAAAACACATGCATGTGATTGGTGCCAGCGAGAGCTTTATATGTATCGGGCATGCACAAGTCAACAGCCTTTCATGTATATAGAATAAACTCGCTTAATTAGACCTGCTTTCTGATTTAGCTAAACTTTTTCCAGCCCAGTGAAGCACCCCAACTTCTCTTTCAGGTGATTGTCAGAAATACAGCAGTAAATATCAACCCGACGCAGATTATTATTGTAGGTCACGCAGTGAGAACAAAGGGTAAAATATTTAACTGCAACAGTGTTTGACTATATTCTGTGCAGTGTGAAAACCTGAAGTCATTTTCAAGGTCCACCATTTCTTACTTCTTTTCAGTCGGGTCAAGTTTCTAAGCTTTCTAAATCTCCATTTTCTGGCTAACGAAAATAGGATTCCACGGAGCCTCCTATCTATCTACTCCAGGACTTCTGTGAGGACCAAATGAGATGAGGCACCGGAAGACGCTTCACAGACATTTGGTTAAAGTGTAAATGTTTCCAACAGGCTATAAAGCAAGTCGTGTTTCTGGGCTGAAGAAACTCCAAGGAGGCTAGTCGCTAGGGAGAGGAAGCCAGGTGTTGCTGCATGACAGCATTACTGGGCGCCCACAACGACCGTTTCTGGGCTGGCCACGGGGTCTCGGCAGCGCCAGCTGTGATTTGGTGGGGTGTTGCGGAGGGGTGGGACTGGTGGTGGCCGGGCCTGTGTCCTACTTGGGGGAAGCCGAGTGTTGCTTTGTCGCCCGAGGTCCCCGCTGCCCTTTCTCTATAAATGGCCAGTGCACATCACGGCAGTTCCTGCATTGAGTGTCTGCCCCCTGGTGGTCACTGAACATGTCAGCTGGGCAAAGGGACACTTAGTATATTGGCCTTTTATGTAGATCACTTTCTCCTAAGTTATCTCACTTCTTTAAGGCCGTTAGGGTAGATATCAGCCCAATTTGACCAAATGCAGTAATTGAGGATCAGAGATAATAGACAATTTGCATTCTTTGACATATCCAAAACATTGCCAAAAAGTCATCCAAAAATATTGTACTCCAGCAATGATATATAGGAGTATTTCTCAACACTCTTGTAATCAATTCATTATCATCAGTTCTCACAAACTGACAATTGAATAGATGAATAATGTCATTGTTACATTTATTTTCATAATGAAGATGAACAACACTTCACATGTGTAAATGTGTATTTTTCTCTTCTGTGAGGTGGCCTCTTCATGTCCTTTGTCTATTTGGGGGGTAGAGTCTTCATGTAGGATTTTAAAAGCAAGGAATAAGATCAAATTGCTGCTTAAGAAAGAAAACAAGGACAGAGCAGAGTAGGGATTCATTAGAGGAATGGAGAGCAATTAAGAGATTACTGCTGTAATCCTGTGGAGAGCCGCGGAAGACCTGAATCAAAGCCACGATAAAGGGAGGAGAGAAGGCAATGTCTTCAAGAGAGATGTAAGAGACAGAACTGATAGAGCAGCGGTTCTCAACCTGTGGGTCTTGACCCCTTTGGGGGTCGAACGACCCTTTCACAGGGGTCACCTAAGACCATCGGAAAACACATATATAATTATATATTGTTTTTGTGATTCATCACTATGCTTTAATTATGTTCAATTTGTAACAATGACATTGGGGGTCACCACAACATGAGGAACTGTATTAAAGGGTCGCGGCATTAAGAAGGTTGAGAACCACTGTGATAAAGGGTCAGAAGACTGGCATGACTAAGATGTTTCTAGTTGGGGCGACTCCATTTGCCGCCACAGGGAATGCAGGGAAAGGAACAGCTCTGGCAAGGTAGATGGAGAGTCCAGATTGGGACACATTGGGTTTAAGGAACCTGTCGGAAATTCAAGTGACCGTACAGACTTGGAGTTCAAAGAAGAGATCCAAGCTACTGTATTTTATCAATTCTAATATGGACACTTTGCCACACCTTAAAATCCCTTGGCTATGAATTGCCCAAACTGTATTCAGAATTGAGCCCCATCTCGTCCCCACTGTAAACTTCCACTGCCGTGGTCCCAATATTTATCGCGATGGTCCGTTTTTAACAACTGTCATTCAGTTTTCTTTAATAATCCCACCATCACAGTGGCTTCTGCTTCTTGGAGCCAACCCCTCCTTGGGTGTAGTCATTGAAATGCAGCAAATTATCAAAGTTACACCTCAGGGAAAACTTGGGCCCAGCTGGTCTTCACTCCCCCTCGCCCCTAACCCCACATCTTGTGAGCACTTGGCGGCATCCTCGGGCTGCCTGTCCCTTCACCTACCCTGGCCTGCACCCCTCGCCCCAGCTTCTGGTTCAGCAAGCTCCTCCAAAGCTATTCTTGCAACCCAGGGCAATTTGGTGGATGACACCAGCTGCCACAGACTCCTCCTTTTGCCTGAATTGGATGGAGGGTCCTACTCATGAGGCTCTGCCAGACCCCATGGCTGGAAGAGAGATGAAGAAGCTCATTTGCCAGCCTCCTCTTCAACTCAGAGGGCCAGAGGGGAGCATAATTAAGAAAGGAAAACTGATAGGGGAGGCTAGGGGACTGTCAAGGGCGGGGGGAGAAAAATGAACACATATGTAATACCCTTTGTAATACTTTAAGCAATAAAAAAAAAACAACAAAAAGAAAAAAAAGAAAGGAAAACTGGCCTTGGAATGAGGGGACATGGGAGTTAGTCTTGTCCTTGCCTCCAATTAGCTGTAAACATATGCTACAATATACAGATCTTGTATTATAGTTGTACACTTGAAACCTATATAATTAACTAATGTCACCCAATAAACTCAATTAAAAATACATTAACTTTGAAAATAATTTAATTAGCTGTTAATACATTTAAAGTGTTTATATTAAGTACTGACAAATTGGTCTTTTGTGGCTATATTCACTTCCCAACACTATATGAAAAGTAGTGCTCATAACCCACACTTATAAAGAGGTTTCTAATATTTATCTTTGGGAATCTGATAGATGGAAATATCTTTTTGGTTTTTATATGCATTCCTCCTGGTTACTAGGTGAGGATAAATATATTTTTCAAATTTTTAATTAGCCAATTTGTTTTTATTTTTTATTGGTTTCTTCATATATTAGGAATATGAATGTTTTTATCAGTTATATAATTATTCTCTCCAAATTAATGATCTGTCTTAATTTTGCTTTTGGTATCTTTGGACGTATATATGTTCTTTATAATTTCTATCATTTTTTTCTTTATGGCTTTTGGGTTTCTGATCACCCTCAAAAAAGTTCTCTCTTCCTCCAAACAATAAATGAACATACTTACACACATTTTTTCCTGGAAGCAGAAAGCATAGTAGTTAGATGCAGAATGAGAGGTTCTGGAACTGGACTTCTTAGATTCAAATCCCAGCTCTGGCATTTATCAATTGCTTGACTGTGGTACTAATATTCTCATCAGTAAAGTGGGGTTCTGGTGAAGGTTAAGTGAATATATCTATGTATCTATATATGTAGATATATAGATAGATATAATTTAGAATAGTGCCTAGTATATAATAAACATTCAACGTGTATACCATTATCAAGTTCCTTTATAGTTCTATCTTTAATATTTAGATCTTTAGTATACTTTTTTGTGTGCATGATTTGAGTCTATTTTTTCCCCAGGTGAATAGCTAGCTTTATAATGTCTATTTTTCCAGATCTGAAATACCACCTTTAGAATATACTAAGGAACAGGCCCTCCCTAAGGAAGCCCGTAAGAGACCTCAACCAGTTCAGTGGCCACCCACGATAACTGCACTTCACAGACACCTTGGGGTTCTACTAAAGGTAGACATTTCTAAGTTGAATTGAACAGTGTTCAGAAACGTGGTGGACTCTCCCCTTGGAACCCCACCCAGTCACAGGACCAGGGAGGCCACCCGAATTGCCTTACTCAAGTAACAAGCCTGCTGATCGATGTGTTCTTGGAGAAGCATACACAACCTAAACATGTATACTTACACTATAAGCTATTTTTTCCAAAGTAGTAATGGTTAGAGAGGAAGTTAAGAGGACTCACATGAACTATACTACAGCACAGGGGATAGCATGTGAGATGGGGTGTATTTGGCTGTGAAGGGCGGGCTGGGATTAGTGAGAGTTTCACAAGTGTAAGAAGCTCATGTGCATTACATGCCTTGTGTGTAGGGGAAGGCAGAGAACCACTGAGATTCAACGTTAGCTTTTCCTTTAAGACAATAAAAAAGCCCTAACCCGGTTTGGCTCAGTGAATAGAGTGTCGATCTGCAGACTGAAGGGTCCCAGGTTCGATTCCGGTCAAGGGCATGTACCTTGGTTGCGGGGGCACACCCCCAGTGGGGACTGTGCAAGAGGCAGCTGATCGATGTTTCTCTCTCATTGATGTTTCTAGCTCTCTATCCCTCTTCCCTCCTCTCTGTAAAAAATCAATAAAATATATTAAAAAACAAACAAACACATAAGCTGTTTAAGTTGTGCTGCCATCTCCTGGCTGAACTTGTATTGCAGTCAAATCACAAGCAGTTACAGCACAAAGTGATGCAGCCATATAAGCATGAAATAGTAACCCAAACAAGTACACCCTACAGAAGGTGGCATGCAGCCTGCTGACACTTCCTGGTGACCACAGCTAGTGCCCCTCTGCTGGCAGTGGCCACTGCTGGTGCCTGCCGAGCACTGCCTAACAAGCACATCAGAAGGCGGGGTGAGCCTAAATAGAAAATTCAAACATTCCAAATGCAGATGGTCCGGTATGTAGATTCCAGCCCCACATCCCCTCCCAGTGTGATAAAGAAGAGCTAGGCATGTGCATGAGCTCAGAATGCTGCAAGTTTGTGCTGGACAGAAGCTGGAGAAACGTGTGTGAACCTAGGAAAGGCTCTGAAAACTAAATTGCTATCACCGCGCCTTGCCCTCTCTTCTCCACTGTCCCACCTCCCATTTCCTTGCCCCACTTTCTGGTCGTGCTAATGTCAAGTACCTGGGAATCAGGAGTGATCTATGGGGGAGCAGCATGTTCTACCGTATCCACCTCTAAGACAAACTGAAAGACATCTGACTGCAGAGGTCCCCGTGGAAAAGGGACAGAATAGGGAGTGTCCTGGTGACACAGGGGAAACAAAAGCCAAACACACATGAACTTAAAACGTTAATGCGGTCTTTATTATACAGCACATCTGCTATTTGTACATCCAAACAAGTATACAGAATACTCTATAAAACCAAACCCAACCCTTCAGAATTACATGAAGCGAAGGCTTATCCCTTCATTGCGTCTCTTAAAAATACGCACAATTAACAGGGTCCTGCTGTAACAATGCAGAAATGTAACAGTGTGGAAAGAGACGGGGAGCACAAGAAAGGAGAGCACGTAAGGACTGAAGTTTGTGCCAAAGTAATTTCTCTAGTTATTGCACTTTTATCTACACACTTAGTATGTTACACTTTTATTTAACACTGTAATAAACATTAGTGCTTTACAACAAACAAAAATATTACATAAAGACAAAAGACAACCAGCTGTCCAGACCGATTTTCTTTTCAACCCTCTGGGGAAGAAGGCCTACCCAGTGCCAGGTGTTCACAGTCTCTGCCATCCTCTCAGCTGGACTGGATGTTAACACAGCAGGTGAAGTTAAAAATAAAACCCTTGTAAGAACAGTAGTGCTACTTGAAACCCCCAAGGGAGTTTGCAATGTAAGTTTCTCAAGGTTATTCCCTCCTTATCTATTAACCTCCACTAGCCCTAACCACCCCACCTCCATATTTAGAAGGATAAACCCTCTCTTTTTTTTCCTCTCTTAAGAGAAAGTGGGTTATTTGAGCCAGCAAATCCCAAAATCAAGCTTTGAAATCTCAAAGAAGCTCCTCTATTGGCAATGGACTCTGGGAAGGCCGTTGAGACCGCTCTGATGCACTGTGGAGTTTGAAGGTCCCTGATTGGGCAGATAGAACACCAAGCTTGCCTTCTTGCCAAAGCAAGGCCAGAGGGCGTCTCTATCCCCCAAGTGCTACTGTGACCCCCACTCCCCCGTGGCTTGTCAGTGCCGAATAAAAACCAAAAAATAAAGTGTCATTCAGTGCATGTATCATGTTGCAGCCCAAACCACTTCTCCGGTAACAAAAAAATGTTTCCAACCCCTTTGACAGCTCAAGCAAAGATGAAAAAAAAAAAATGCATTGAAGAGCTGACTGGCACTAGTTGAGGTCGACCATGCCCCTATATCGGTGGTAGTAATGTATCCTTTCTTCACTGTTCCCTTGACTTTTAGTGTTAAAAATTAGGAGAAGCTGCTGCCTATGCTCTGTCCCCCTGCAACTGATGTAGTCACAAGTGACTCTTTGGTCTGGGAAGAACCAGTACTTTCCAGAGCTACTCTCCGCAGAGGATCAAGGGGCTAGGGCATGCGTGTGGAAACCTCACCCAAGCGAGCATTCCTCCATCCATGACTGACCTTGCTTTGCTGCTGGCTCCTTAGGCACAGGTGAGCCACTCCTGGCTCCAGACTCCATTCTTCCAACTGCTCTGCAGAAAGGTCCCCCACTCAGTTCTGAAGCAACATAAGTGATCAGACTGCAAGGGCATTAAAAATGCCCAGGTGTTCCTTTTCGGGGAAATTGCCATAATTAAACTGACTAGAAGAATAGAACACAGGGTAATTATTTCATCTCATCCTTCTCTGTGCCACCCCCCACCCCCAACCCTCACCACTAGCCCAAAGCTAGGAGGTAAAATCTTCAGACTTTGGTCTTGCTAAGCCCTTAACAGCCCAATTGCCACCAAACTTCTTTAATACCTAGTATCTTCCCAAGTAATATACAATACAGTACATTTCACGGCATTCCATTACTTTAATAATAATGGGTGCCAAGGAAAAAGGAATCTGAAATTTGCTAACAATGTTGTAAAACAAAAGCACAGTATACATGTGTTACACATATGTACTCCTGCACTCAGCCTGCTGAGTGTTTAAATAACACCTCCAAGTGTCTACATGGGGCTTTGATAGCCTGAAGACTTTCAGGAATATTCTGCACCTTTTGTCAGAATGCCTTTTAAAAAGAAAACTTAATGAACTATAACACAATTACATGTCCATTAGCCCTTTCCTCCCCACTCAGGCAAAAAATATGGGGAATCTGCTAGAAAACTGATGCTGGAGTTTTTCAGTTTCTCCCTAAGCCACAGGGAGAAATTGAAAAGGGACTCCGGTGGCGGCAAACCTAACCTCCCATGTCTGAATGGGGGTATGAACTAAGGCTTCCGAAGAATGTTAGGAATGTGGTCTCCATAATGGGAGCACAGACTCCTGATTATAGTCAGAGTTAAAATGACTAGAAAAGGGAACTATATAAAACTTTCTTGAAATTTCTAGAAAAAGGAACTACTATATAAAGCTTTCTTGAAATGTCATACAGAACAAGACTTATACAGATTTTCCATCAAGTAGAGACTACTCGCCTCTACTTTTTAAACTTGAAACATGGCTTCCTGGAAGGCCCATCATAGTCCCCATAAGGGCAACGAGTTAATGCTGACAAGAATAGAGTTACTTGAAGTAAGTGTTAAAAATTCTAAGAGATACACTGAACATTCCACCAAACAAGCCTGGAGCCTATAGAACCCAAAGACACTGGGTCAGTCAACCTGTCATTTGCAAGTCAAAAGGTTTTTAGGACTCTATATGGGTTTCTAAAGGGCTACGAGTGCTCAAGGGGCTACTATACTCATACAGGTCATAATCAGAGCCCAGGAGGGCCAGAGTTAAAAACTGAACTTTAAAAGTTAGATGAGCCCGGCCGGTGTTGCTCAGTGGTTGAGCGTCAACCTATGAACCAGGAGGTCACAGTTCGATTCCTGGTCAGGGCACATGCTCAGTCTGTGGGCTTGATCACTAGTGGGGGGCATGCAGGAGGCAGCTGCTCAATGATTCTCTCTCATTATTGATGTTTCTATCTCTCTCTCCCTCTCCTTTCCTCTGAAATCAATAAAAAAATATTTTTTAAAGTTATATGAAAAATTTTTGTAGACCCATGTATACCGTTAATGTTTGAGAGATGGACACTCTGTGACAACCCTAGAAAATTCCAGCAGCGAACCTGCCCATTATCTTACACACCTACTCAGGGACTGTTTCCCAGTTTGGGACTGGGCACAGGGTCAGACCATAGTGCTTGGAGCTGAGGCAGATGGACAAGTTACTCACTCCACTGTCTATTCCCTCACCTACCTCTTTTTCTAAATAGAATGGACTATTTGGTTGAGGGAGGCTTGAAATGACGATCTGAGATGCACCAATGTTTAAATTGTTCCCCTTCCTTTGACTGGCATAAGAATTTCTCTTCTGATGCACACTTCATGGCAAACTCTCCCAAGACCACCGCCCACCTTCTGAATGCAAGGGAGGCGCCCTCCCCAGGCACTAACACCCGGGGTAAGGGGCACACACGAAACTACAAAAAGTGTTCTTCTCTTCCAACTGGTTCTCTTCTGCTAACATTTAAAATAAGGAAAAAAGAGGGACAAGTGGCAGAAGAAACCTTGGTTAAAAAGCTCAACAACCAAGTTGAAAAACATCAGTGTGTTAGATTCAAACTCAAAAGGAAGAGTTTCTGGGTTTTTTTTTAAGTTTTAAAAAACAAGCTGGTATCTGTCTAGTGGGTTTGTATGGAGACCCACGGCCTCCAGATCACTGTCCACTTCTCAGGCTCACCAAATACTTCAGACTGAGGCAATTTTACTCAGATACTCATCCCTAAGTATCTTGTTAACTGGCGCTTCCTCATCTTGAGGATGAAAAGAGAAAAAAAAAAATGAAGACCCAAGGGTAGAAGAGATTCTATTTTAGGAGTAGTGGTAACTCAAAACCCAATAGCTCGCGCACACGCACACACACACTTTTGTCTTTGTGGCCTCTTGGTGATATAACTGTGAAGTACTCTCCCAGAAGTCAGGGCTATGTGGTCCTATAAGTGTAAACACACTGGCATTGGAAGGAACAGAGAGCTTTGTTTCTAGTATTATCGCTGGGGCCTCTGGCTATTGCAACCAGAGATCTCTATTGCAACCAGTATCCGCACGTTAAGTTTTTGCGCCTATGTTTTCACAATTCCAGAACCGAGCTTACATTTTCTAATGGTTCTGACAACTGGATAGAACCAAACTATCCTTAGCTAATGCCAAAACTATGAAAATTGTGGTTTTTAATACTATTGCCAATGCAGTGTCCCACTTGTCTTAGAAACATACAGTGAAACAGACAATGGTAACATTTACCTCCTTTTCAGTTCTGAGGCCAGAACATTGCTTTCTTCAGCCTTTTACCCATGTCCTAGACAATCTTTTGCTAAAGAAATAGCTTGAGGCATCAGTGAACTGCTGAATATGCTCAGCCATTCGGACAGCACTATCCAGGAGTCACCTCTGCCTGGGGACTCTCAAGCTGCCCAGCAAGCATCAGTTCCCCTGGGAGCTCTCTTAAAAAACTGTCAAATTCTTCCCATGGCCAAAAAGTGGGGGAAGGAAAGAATAAAGAGTAAAAGAGAAAGGTCTTTGCTTTCAAGTAGAATCATCTAGCCCTCTGTTTGGCTGTTCAGAATTTGACTTGCATAGCCGGTCCATGATGCCCTGGAGCATGGGCTGGACAATGCCCAAGAGAGGTCTCTGAGAGGGGTCGCCGTCCCAACATGCTTCCATCAGCTGCCAGCACTCCTCATCAAACACAGGAAGGCGTTCGGGGCGGGCCCCTAGAGAAAGGAGCATGGAAATAGACCAGAGTTAGTGAGAGGGCGACCAATACAACCAACAGGCATGCTCAGCAATCAGGCTGATGACCCAGCTGGGGCTCAGGATGCTCAAGAATGTAATAAGCTTTGACTTCAACTGCAAATACCTAGGTTGGAACCTAACAGTAACAGTGATGGTAACCTGGAACACACTGGCATAGCAAGTTGAAGAGTTGGAAATTTTAAAGAAAAGCCTTCTTGAGATAGTTCCGGAATGTGTTGCCTGATGGGAGGCCCTGCTGCAGTGCCTGGTCTCAGTCTGCTCTTAACAGGGGAGTTTGGACAAAGTAGGGCTTGTGGCTCTTACCTCTCCGCACATTGTTCCAGAGATGGTCTTTGCTGGCACACCTCTCAAATGCCTCAGGGAGCTTGACAGAGCCTGAGCAGATATACCAGAAAAGAATGCCAAAAGCGTAGACATCCACGGAATTATCATACTTCCCTAGAGCAAGAAGGGGTGACACGCAGTGAGCCAGGGAGAGACAGCAATACCATCACCACTAACTTGCACCTGCAGAGGTCTTTACACACTTTTATCTAAAGCTTTTATCATCCATTCTCTCTCATAACCACCCTGTTAGGCAGGACACATTCATAATGCCCATTTTACTAGTATAATAAAAAGAACTACGGCAGTGAAGGCTAAAGCTAGATATTAAGAGCCCCAAGACCAGAACTTGACAAAGGAGAAGGAAAACATGCCTTTTATTTTAATGGGACAGTCAGAAAGATTAATCCTGAAAGGTCATATTAGGGAAATAAAGTTAGAAATACAGGTGGGTGGGCAAGTTGGAACCAGAGTATAAAGATTTTTATAGGCAGACAGAAGAGTCAGGAGTCAGTGGACAGCAGAAGTCATTTATGCTTTAGAGCAATAGATGACATGAAGAAGAGTATTTTAGAAAGATTATTCTGACAGCAACAGAATGGACTGCAGTAGAAACAATTCAAAAGAATTTAAATACGAAGTAGCCAAAACACACGATAACAGGGGAAAGAGAAATTTAATTTTTTTTCTTTAGTTTTGAACTTCATTTATATGGAACCATATCATACGTGCGGTGTTGTATTTGGTTTCTTTGAGTTATTGTTTTATTTGTGAAATTAATCCATGTTTTACTAGATGCATTTCATTTTCATTGAGATTCAGTATTCCAATGATTCTCTCAGAATTTAGGTATTATATTAATAGACATCTAAATAGTTTATTTCTAGTTTAGCTTAGAGCTTCTATTACTTGGTTCTGCAGAAATTTAATTTTAAAGAAGAAGTCTAGAGAAAGAGAAAGGATGACTGTGTACTTTGTTCGATGTGGGCAGGACTATCGCCCTCCAGCTAACTCCTAATCCTTACGTGGATCACTCAGTGACGGGCTGGGGGAGGACTTGTGCATGAGGCTGATGAGAGGAATTCAGATAGACTGCTAATTTAACTACTACCAATGCCACCTTCCATCTTCCCCAACAATCATACAACCCCTCTTCATCCACTCAGACAGGATCAAATCTTGGAGTGATCGTTTAGTCATTCTTTTCTGTTCATCATTCATATTAACTTTTAAAAAAACTTGCCCATTCCTCCTCTGAATTATTTCAAATATGTCACTGTTTTTTGTTTTAGCACAACCTAATCATGAAGACAGCCTCCATTTCCCTATGTGGGTTTTTGCCACTCAAGTTCCCTCTACCTACTCCTGCTAAGCTAATCTTCCATAAACATTTTTCATTCCTTACCTGCTCAAGAGTGCAATAGCACCTTATTTCTTCAACATTAATTCTTCACTCCTCTGTGTGAATTTCAAGCTCATTGCATTTTCCCTCCAACCTGGCTTGCTAATATTCCCCAAATGGATTTCTTTCCTGTCATGCTTATTTCTATTCCGCATTTTTTCTCATATATTCCATTCCTCAGCTTCCAGAATTTTCTTTCTTGTATGATACATGGTTAGACGCTAGAGACAGAAAGACCTCGATTCCATTCCTAGCTCCATGACTTCTAGCTCAGTGTCCTGGATGGATTCTTCAGCAATCTGGCCTTGACTTAACTTATCCTTTATATAGACACAAAAATGCATCAATATCACTGCAGAATTCTAGTGAGGATTAAATGGAATAAAATATATGAAAAAATATATGCTGCCTAGCTCAAAGAATATACTTAATAAATATGAATTCCTTTCCCACTTACCAATTTTTCCAGATCAGACTCAAGCTCTAACTAAAATATTACCTCTACCACAAAACTATCAGACATTTCAACCTTCATTTATCCCTTTTCTGAATACCAACATTACATCATGTAGCATTTAACTTAGCATTTTATCACATGTTGTCTTATACTGCCCTCTTAAGTTATTTTACCTGTTAGTATATCTCTGCTATCTATAAGTTCTTTTTTTTTTTTAAATATATTTTATTGATTTTTTACAGAGAGGAAGGGAGAGAGATAGAGAGAGAGAAACATCGATCAGCTGCCTCCTGCACATCTCCTACTGGAGAGGTGCCCGCAACCCAGGTACATGCCCTGGACCGGAATCGAACCAGGGACCCTGCAGTCCGCAAGCCGACGCTCCATCCACTGAGCCAAACCGGTTTCGGCTATAAGTTCTTTTAATAATAGGCAACAACTCCTAACATAGTATAGGAGTTATCAATAAATTCTTTATGATTAAATAATTGGCTGGTTATGGCCCAGAGAGACATCCAAAAGAATAGTTGGCGACTCTTATTTGCACTTTTCCTCTTTACTTTCCCCTACTTGTCTTAGCTTTTCCTGTTCTCTTTCCTCCCTTGCCTGTGCTGGATCTGCCCGTAGCTCAAAGGGTAGCACTCAGGTTAGAGTACAGAGCCCCATCCAAACCCACTCCCTGCCCTCCAGCTTACCTGTGAAAAGTTCAGGGGCCATATGGATTGGCGTCCCCACAATGCTGCCTGACATCATGGCCTCTGGCTTGCAGAATCCTAAGTCAGTGATCTTGGCTCGGTTCTGCTTGTCCAACTGCCAACAAAGCAGGGTAAGAGTCACCCTGTCTGATCCTGCACAGAGCATTCAGCCCAGCTGCATCCCCAAACTTGCAAGTAGGTGTCTACCTCACAGCAGTATTTAACCAATCCTGCCTCCTGCCTCCCTGTCTCCAGATTCATTCCCAATAGTATCTTCTCCCCAGACTGTAAGCAACCTGATGGGGGGACTGCCTTTTTCATCTTGGGGTTCCCAGCACTTAGCATAGTGCCCGGCACTTTCAGGAGCTTGAAAGAATCAGGAAGAATGAATAAGTGAAGAACACTGTGGGAAGTATTTCAGTTCCTGATTATTATCCTCTGACCTCCAGGCACCAGGGAACAAAGCTTCTAAGTAAGAACACTGAGGTCCTCTGGGCAGCTGAAGGAAGTTTCTGGAATTCTCTGTAGTTTCCTTTCCTAAAGGTCCAAGAGAATAAACCTGTGTCTGATTTGGAAATTGAGAAGCCTCTTAGATTTCAGCCTATAATTTTAGGAAGATCTTTCCTTTCCCCCAAATTGCTGTCTTTACACATCATTTAAGTGATGCCAGAGACAACCCAAGAATAATCCAATCTGTTCTTGAGAGGAGTACGTCAAAAGATTCTTTGTAATTTAGAAAAGAGTCTCATGACATTTTAAGGAGCATTTACCCATCTTGGTCCAGTATTCTTGATCAAACCCTAAGCAATAACAAGACTTGGAATCCTTAAAAATATCACTGTCACAAAGCGAAAATGGCGGAAGAACTATTCTAGATTAAAGGAGGCTAAAGAAATATGACAACAAAATGCACTGTATGATCCTTGGCTTGGATCTTGGATTAAATAAATAGACTGTATGTGAGATAATGGGACATACTTGGGACAACTGGAAAATCTTAATACAGACAGTATATTAACTAATAGTATTGTATCAGTGTTAAATTTCTTGGGTGTGATAATGGCATTTTAAAAAATATATTTTTATTGATTTCTGAGAGGAAGAGAGAGGGAAAGATAGAACATCAATGATGAGAGAGAATCACTGAATTGTGTGTGTGTGTGTGTGTGTGTGTGTGTGTGTGTATTATTGATTTCAGAGAGGGAGAGGGAGAGAGAGAACAGCAATGATGAGAGAGAATCACTGAAGCTGCCTCCTGCACAACCCACACTGGGGATCAAGCCTGCAACCAATCATGTGCCTTGACTGGGATTTGAACAGTGACCTCCTGGTTCACAGGTCAATGCTCAACCACTGAGCCATGCCAGTGGGCATGATATGGCATTTTAATTTACATAGAAGATATCCCCCCCCCCTTTTTTTAGGAGATACAAGCTGAAGTACAGGCATACCTCAGAGATATTGCAGGTACGGTTCCAGAACACTTCTATAAAGCCAATATAATATTGCAATAAAGCAAGTCACATGAAGTTTTTGGTTTCCCAGTGCACATCAAAGTTATTTTTATATTATACTGTAAGTCTGTTAAGTGTGCAATAGCAATATATCTTTTAAAAAACAAGGTACATACATTAACTAAAAAATACTTTATTGGTAAAAAATGCTAACCATCAGGATGGGAGCTTTGGCCTCAGACTGATGGTGGCAGTAGTGCAGATGGGCTGGGCAGGGACCATGGCAGTAGAGGCAGAGGTGGCAGGGGCAGGGTGGCTGATGGTAGAGGAGGCTGCAGTCTTTAGGGAACTGTAGGTGGAGGCATGGTTCGGGCCAGCAGCGAGGAGGCCTGAGGGGCACTTTACATGTCACATGACAGCTCTGAGAGCTTTGCATAGGAGTGAACCACCAGCCCTACCTCTGTGAGAGTGGTCACTGCTACAGGCAGCCTGGCTGCTGCACCTACTACTACGAGCTCTGGTGGTTCTGGCCGCTCTGGACTGTCCTCATCCTCTTTAACTACTGTTGCACATTCCGTCATCCACGAACTAAACTCTGGCTGCAGCAACAGCAGCGGCAGCATGAGATCAACTTGTTGGCCACCAAGGAGCATGCCACAGAGCATAACACGGAGCGGGCCCTGTTCCTACCAGTTCACTGCTTGACCTTCGCCTCCTCAGTGCCTTCAAGCCCCCCACCCTGTGAGGATCTGGTTCACCTCCCAGTCACACCACCTCCTTACACTGCCATCCAGGGTGCCCCTTGACTGTTCCCAGGGAATGACTGCGGCTCCTCTACTACTAGCTGCCCTGCCCACTGCAAAGGAGCAAACACGAAAGGTGGTTCTTCCCCCCAGAGTGCCCCCCTCATCAGCAGAGGGAGCCTGGGGCATGGGTTGAGCCCTGCCCCCATATGCTGACGCTATTACCAGCTGACTGGTGACTTGGGTATGGAGCTCTGCCCTTACCCCGACTCCTGCACGGGTGAGTCAGTCAAGGAGGCTAGGGCTAGATCTGGGGACCATGCCCCTTGTACACTGCCCCTAGATCCCATACCCCAAGTTTCTTCTGTGGGGCTGGTCCCACCTCCCTGAGGTCTCCTTGGGCTCTCCCTGCCCTCCCAGAATCTGTCTGAACGGGCTGGAGTCCTGAGGAGGGGCTGTGCTGGAAGGACTATGCTAGCTCTACTTCCAATGACATGCACAGGAGCCTATGATCTCACTGAAGAGATATGAACAACAGCAAAAAATGCTAACCATCGTCTGAGACTTCAGTGAGTTGTAATCTTTTTGCTGGTGCAGGGTCTTGCCTCAATGTTGATAGCTGCTGACTGATCAGGGTAGTGCCGGCAGCAATTTCTTAAAACAATGACGTTTGCTGCATCAATTGATTCTTCTTTTCACTAACAATTTCTCTGTAGTATGTGATGCTGTTTGATAGCATTTACCCACCGTGGAACTGTTTTCAAAATTCAAGTCAGTCCTCTCAAACCCTGCTGCTGCTTTAACAACTACGTTTATGTAACATTCTAAATCCTTTGTTATTTCAACAATCCACTTTCTTTGCTCATCCATGGGAAGAAATTCCTCATTCATTAACGTCTTATCATGAGATTGTAGCAATTCTGTCACATCTTTGGGCTCCATTTCTAATGCCTCCACTGAAACTTTGAAACCCTTTGAAGACATCCATGAGAGCTGGAATCAGCTTCTTTCAAACGCCCTGTTAATGTTGGTATTTTGACCTCTTCCCATGAATCACAAATGTTCTCAATGGCATCTATAATAGTGAATCCTTTCTAGAAGGTTTTCAATTTACTTTGCCCAGATCCACCAGAGGAATCACTATCTATGGCAGCTGTAGCCTCACAAAATGTATCCCTTAAATAATAAGACTTGAAAGTCAAAATTATTCCTTGTTCCATCGGTTACAGAATGGATGTTTTGTTAGCAGCTATGAAAACAACATTAATCTTCTTATACATCTCCATCAGAGCTCTTGGATAACCAGGAACATGTCACTGAGCAGTAATATTTTAAAAGAAATCTTTTTTTCTGAGCAGTAGGTCTCAACAGTGGGCTTAAAATATTCAGGCAACATGTTGTAAACAGATGTGCTGTCATCCAGGCTTTGTGGTTCCACTTATAGAGCACAGGCAGAATAGATTTAGTGTGATTCTTAAGGGCTCTAGGATTTCCAGAATGGTAAATGATCAGTGGCTTCAACTTGAAGTCACCAGCTGCATTAGCCCTAACAAGAGAGTCAGCCTGTCCTTTGAACCTCTGAAGCCAGCCATGGTCTTCTCTAGCTGCATCTTCCAATAGAAGGCTGTTTCGTGTACATTGAAAATCTGTTGTCTAGTGTAGCCACCTTCATTAATTATCTTAGCTAGATCTTCTGGACAACGTGCTGCGGCTGCTACATCAGCACTTGCTGCTTCAGAGTTTTTCCTTAAACCCTGTGAACCTACCTGTGCTAGCTTCAAACTTTTTGTCTGCAGCTTCCTCACCTCTCTCAGCCTTGAAAAGAACTGGAAAGAACCAGGGCCTTGCTCTGGATCAGGCTTTGACTTAAGGAAATGTGGCTGGTTTAATCTTCCATCCAGACCTCTAGACCATTCTCATCAGCAATAGGCTGTTTTGTTTTCTTAGCATATGTGTGTTTACTGGGCTGCACTTTTCCTTTCCTTCGAGAACTTTTCCTTTGCATTCACAACTTGACTAACCAGTACAAGAGGCCCAGCTTTTGGCCTCTTGTCTTCCGATGTGCCTTCCTCACTGAGCTTAATCATTTCTAACTTTTAATTTAAAGTGAGAGATGGGTGATGTTTCCTTTCACCTGAACACTTTGAGGTCATTGTGAGGTTATTAATTGGCCTAATTTCAACATTGTTGTGTGTCAGGGAATCAGTAGAGCAGTCAAAACACATACATTTAATAATTGTCACCATATACGGGTGTGGCTTGTGGTGCCCCAAGACGATTTCAATAGTAACATCCAAGGTCATTAATCACAGATCACCATAACAAATATAACCACAAAAATTACCAAAATGTGACACAGCGACATGAAGGGAGAAAATGCTATTGGAAAAAAGGCACCAGTACACTTGTTTAAGGCAAAGTTGTCACAAACCTTTGATTTATAAAAAACACAGTATCTGTGAAGTGTGCTGAGCAAAGCACAATAAAACAAGGTATGTCTATATTTAGGAATGACAGGTTATCTGCAATTTATTTTCATAAGAAAAGTGTGTGTGTGTGTGTGTGTATAGAGACCACTAAGAAAAATAAAGACTATGAATCTGGGTGAACAGTATATAGGCTTTCATTGTACTGCTCTTTTAATTTTTCTGTAAGTTTCAATGTTTTCAAGTGTTGGGAGAAAAAACCTAAAGCAATATGAACTGGGTCTCTGATGCAAGTCCCCCCTCAACTTTAAGTCCAAAATAACCACCCAACTACTCTGCTATTCACTCTACTACTTTCCCTCCAGTCTTCTCCTAGAAAGAGCACTTAACCCAGAGGCAGCACGTTCTGCTGGAGAAGCAGCTCTTCCTTACCAGCACATTTTTCAGTTTGATATCACGGTGGACGAGTCCCTGGCTGTGCAGGAAGCGGATTCCTTCCACCACATCTAGTGCTATCTGCAAACGTGTCTTCAAGGTCAGCCCAGCCTTGGGGAAACAAAAGCTTATTTGTCACTAGCAAGACAACCTGTCAATCCAACCTGCTTACACCAACGAAGAGTTCCTTGTATGGGGTCTGAAAGACTGGCTGCACTAGGGTATACAAGGACAGAAAAGTGGATGGAAAAATGGGGGAAGAGGAAATTAGTTAGGAGAGGGAAGTAAATAAAAAGCAAAGAAGGGCAAGCTATGCAGGCCAGATAGAATCCCTTGGAGGCTGCACTTCAGCTGGATAATCCCCACGTGACTAGGAGAGGTGCAACCAAATGACTAGAGCCATGAGCTCATTCTAACCCCTAAACATCATACTGAATTCTCATGGTCCTGCAAGCATTTCTAAGGATTCTTCTGTCCTACTTCTGGAAGCTTCCAAACAAACTGGTACAGGAGAAATCTATGGGAAGGGGCCTACCCAGATATCCTGGGGTTAGCTTTCCCCCCATTCTTCTAAGCTCCGGTCCATAGACAAAAGAAACCTCTAGTCCTTTTGGTGGTTATTTTAGATGAGGGAAACGCAGCATCCAACTGAGGGTCTTTCACTAGAATAAAATCTTTTGATAGCTTCTTGCTATCTATTAACAGAATTTGAATTCTATGGAAACATGTTCAGTCCTCTATAACTTGCTCCAAACATTGCTTGACACACTACCCCCTCACCCCTCAACAATTCCAAATGAACCAGCTCTTCCAATGTTGATGAGTGTCCTTACTGGCCTTCCAATGCTCTTGGCATTGCACTAGTTCCTTCCCCTGGTATGGCCTCTTCTTTCTAACTGTCCAAATGTTAGCCATCAGTGTGTACTTGTTACACTCAAATGCCCCATCTTCATAGAATATTCACTGACTCTTAAAAGTCCTGGTAATTATACTTTTTAACTCTATGGTGCTTAATAAAGGGCCTTGTACAAAGTAGTCACTACTACACATATGTGTTGACTAAACAACAAAAACTGGTTTATACACTGACAGCAAAAAGGGAGAGAACAGCAGCATTACAGGAAGTTTGTGCTTCTGAGTCGTCTAGATTTTCCCAGCACAGGACGGAAAAGTGGTTACGTTATAGCATTCTGGATATGAACTGGGCCAAAAAATAGATTCTGAAAATTTTTAAAGATTTTTTGGAAACAAGGTTAATAAAGCTTGATTATTCCAACAATGTCTTATAAAAGGCTGAAGCTCTAAACAAACAAGAAAGGATGAAAGGCCAGGCAAGAACCTGCGGATCTGGCTGTCAGCTGGACCTCACTCTCCCTGCCTCGCCTCACCTTCAGCCCAGTGTAGAGGTCCCGGTGGAGCCGCTCCATAATGAGCAGCACGGCAATGCTGGAGCCACCACCATAGTTGTAGTCGATGACAGAACCATGGAGGTCCACCAACCGCTCATGCTTCGGCAGAGACCTGGCAGGAAGGAGAGAGGTCTGGGCTATAATGCACAGCATGCCACCATGTGGGAAGGAACACCCTGAAGACATGCTTAGTCTAGGTCCATAGGTAATGGCCCTCAGTACAGAGAGAGGGCACGGAGAATGGCTTCTCAAACAAGGACAAAGAAGTATGGAATCTAAAAATTGATTAAGAACTAAGGTATTAAGAACTAAGGAAGAAAGTCAAATGAAACAATGAGTCTGAGAAGTTAGGATGTTGGGAAAGGGCAAGCCAAACACAGTAAAGACCTTGAAGAGAGCAGTTTCAGATCAGACATGGAAATACTGGTCCACACATTCTTAGACCTGGGTGTGGAGAGACCTGGCATTCTGTAGCTCTTGGTACAAAATTTATGCCAGGCTCTGGCTTCTTCTCTGGACCTTTTCCCACAGAGGTGAACGAGACCCTACCCACCTCATGTAGTGAAACTCCAGGGCCAGGTCATTCCAGTGCTTCTCATCGGGAGGAACCACCGACTTGAGGGCACAAGGGAAGTGCCCACCCCAGTTGTCACAGAGGTACACCACACCATACTGGCCTCGGCCCAGTTCCTGTCCCAGTTTAGGTTTATCTACAAGGTACAGAGACAGAGATAAGGCAGGAGGGATGGGAACTTGCTGGGCAACCTCCCTAAAATTCTTAGCCATGGACCTGCCTAGAGGCAGGAAGTCATAACTATGCTTGGGAGAGATTCTGATGTCATTCTAAGCCAGCAGAAAGTAACCTAACTGGTTTGATGGAAATAGACCTCAGTATTGTTCTTTGGAGTACATAAATAGCAGAACCACACACACTTCAGGAATGCAACAACACATCAGGGAGTGCCAGGCAGCTTCGCAAGAACGCAGCTTTGGACACTCGGATTCTCCAAGGCTGAACAGGAGAACCCTCCTCCAATTTACTTGTGGAAAAAAGGACTCACGATGCAGCAAGACATCCTGTAAAGAACGGCTCTCCAGAGAAAGGCGCGCCAGGCGGGGGGCATGATCTTTCCGAACCTTCAGCCACAGATCCTCAGTTTTCTCCAACCGGCCTGAGTGGCCAGCTTCCAGCTGGGAGGACACACACGGAAAAGACATGACCTAGTTAAGTCCCTCGCTCTGGCTTCCTCCCGTTGAATAAGAATATCTGCCTCATAAGAATAACTGAGAATTAAATAAGATGTATGTAAGATATTTAGCTCAGAGATTAGTCATAATGGGCTCTCAACAAGTAGTAATTTTTCCTCCTGGATGCATATCACATCTACCCACCCTCACCCAGCACACACATATAACACACATTCTCTCTCACACACACACCAAAGGGACAAGCAGATGTCATATAATTACAAATTAGTATTGAACTTGGATAGTCATCCCTTTCTGTCATCAATCCTAAAATTCTACATAAACTTACACAAAATTCCTGCCCCTCAATTTTTATTCCTTATTCAATGAAACAGGGAGAAATTAACTGATTCCCTGCATTCTCCCTAGAATTAAAATAGAAAAATATCCACATGAAAAACTTATTAACAAAACTTCCTGTGATGTGGTATTATCCTTAATGTAGAGGGTGGGAAACCTTTCTCCTGCCAAGGGCCATTTGGATATTTATAACATCATTCACAGGCCATACAAAATTATCAACTTGAAAATTAGCCTATGTTTTTTCTACATTTGGTCAAACATTTACTTAATTCACTCCAATGCCTTGGCAGGGCCAGACCAAATGATTTCATGGGCCATATATGGCCTGTGAGCCAGACACCCTTTAACAGAATAAATATATATATGACCTCTTAAAAATTATGTGAACAGGAGCAAAATATTCCCCAATGGACGAGGTTCTTCTCTGCTTGACCCTACATACTCACCTGCCTTAAGGAGGCTGCAAAAGCCTCATGAGAACTATTGAGCCGGGTCCGGAACTGGCTGCAAATGCTTTTGGCCAACTTGGAGGCACTGAGGCTCTCAATGGCTTCCTGGGCCACCTTCCTCTTCCATTCTATTGTGATGGCAGGTGGGCTCACCCACGTGATGCGCTGGATGATCTGCCAGGACAAGAACAGTAAGAACATTGAGGGATGGGAGACAGAAACCACTAAAAAACACCAGACCCTCTCCATTCTTTTTAAAATATTTTTAACTGATTTTTTTAGAGGAAGGAAGAGGGAGAGAGAGAAACATCATTGCAGATAAAGCATAGATCAGCGCCTCCTGCACTCCCCCTGACCGGGAATCAAACCAGCAGCCTTTAGGTATATGGGACGATGCCCAGCCAACTGAACCTCACCAT